CGCTAGGAAAAATCAGCAGTCATCCAGAATACAAGCAACTATGACTAAGTATGTGGAAGTGTGGAAGAGAAATCTTTTCTTCCAGAAACCATACACACTTGAAAAAGGAAAAAAAATCCCTCAAACCATTTGACACACCCTTCCTAAAGTTACAGATCACTAATATGACGGATCACAAACACTTCCACCTTCCTTTTATATTAGGATTCAGAAAGAATATACACATCTACACAAAATACATTTAGTTGCCATATAATATACTTGGATTGAAATGAGATTTGCACTTTGAAAAAACCCAAAAAAGCAGTATGAGAATATTCCCTCTCACATTTCTTCTTTAAAATGTAAGCAAAGGGCAAAGAGACTGGACCTAGAAAAGCATTTTTCTCCTCACAATATTCTGTACAGTTTTCTGTATTTACACTGAAGAAAATGCGCAGAAGTCTGAAGAAATTAAACACTTTAGAGTGCTAAAATCAAAACATAAGCAATACAATTTTTTAATTTCAGTATTTTAAAGTACAGAAAGTGGTAACTATGAATATCAAATACAAATTTAAACAAAGCCACTTGTCCTCCCCTAGAATAATCAATGTAAACTACTTATAGAAACTTACAAATTTAAAGTAAATCAAAACAAAATAAATACTGTACATACACTTTCCCTGCCAGCAGGCAAAAGAGGATGGGAAATACTGTTATGAACTGAAACAAATGCTCTTAAAGCTGCAGCATCCCATTTCCCAGCCAAATACTTAACACAGTAGTGCGTTTCTGTAAAAAGGAAGACACACATACACAGACACCTACTGAGCAGACAAGCTAGTATTTTCAGAGACACTAGAAGGAAAGATAGAAATTAGACTATGAGAGTAGAAAAAGGAGAGGAAAAGACAAATGGGCCAGCAAAACATTACTACAAAACTAGTAAATATAGCCAAGAACTAGCCCCTTTTTTTCTTTTTTTTTTTCTTTTCCAAATTTCATGTTTTTCTTAAAAAAAGATTCACCAAAGCATTGGCAGCAATAGACATTTCCCAGCAGAAGTGACAATACATATCAATATAATCTCTTAAAGTGATCCCTTTCATTCCCTTCCCACAGCATGAAACTCTTATGGCTTAATTTATATTAAAAGTAGAAAAAGTCATTTTTTCCAAACAGAAATGCAGCCTATGAAAAACATGCATTTCCGTATCAGTGCTACTTGTATTTCCCATCCACTGCATGATTTATCACTCATACACTCCCACAAAAAGTGTTACTAGGCTGATTTTTGTTGGGTGTGGGTTCTTGGTTTTTGTGGGTTTGTTTTTGTTTTGATAAATGGATGTTGCAGCTTTTAATCTTGTTTAACCACATATAGTAAGGCCCTCGGTTCCATTTATGTTTTTTCTGTGAAAGAGAAGCTCTGGGCTCACTCAGCCCCAGAGCCACAAACAGCATTTTATGGTCTGGAAGTATTACATGAATGAAACTCTGGAAAGACACTAGGTTTGGAGGTCATGGTGGGGGTGTGAAGGGATAAGGTGGCATGTGAAGCCTAAATAGGGCACTAGTTATAGGCTTGTAGTACCAAGTCATTATAGCTTCAATTCTGCTTAGTCTCCGCAATTTCCAAAAAGGGAGTTTCACAAGATTCACATGAGCTCTGAGTCCAAAAGCCTACAAAAATTTTAACATTTACAACTTCATGGCCTTGTGAACAAAGGCAGCTTCTGCCATATAGCGAAGCCTAGAAAAAGCTGAAGCTTCTAAAATGTGATTATGACACTGTGCTCTATCTCTACTACAGGTAACACAAGCACTTCAACCATCAAAAAAACAAAACCCCCCAAGTCCCCCATGTGATCAGAAAGCAAGAACTTTAACTCTCAACATCTAACCCTTTCAAAATTGTCTTTAAGAACAGACTCATGGAGAGTATTATAGGTTGCATAGGTAATCTACCTCAGAGGTCATTCAAAGGCTACCTTGTAGCCAGGGTTTATTAGCAAGTATAGTAGGAGAACAAAAGGGAAAGTTGCTGGAAGAGTCTTTGATAATAGTTTCTAGATGGTCTTTTCATTTTCATACATTTTCTTTTTTTTTCAATTTCAGGAACATGAGAACTCAAGAGAATGGGAATACCCCTACAGTGTTTCGTTTCCTATTGTTCTGTCTACAAAAAAAGTATTAAATTTTATGCCAAATTCAAGTTACCTGACTTTTCAAAAATATTATCTTTGCAAACAAGTTACTATAGCAGGCTTCATTTTCTTTGTCCAGTCAGTGTTCCCTACTACCTCCTTCTTTCACCCCAAGTAAGACAGCAAAAAAAAAAAAAAATAGGGCTTTTTTTTCTCCACTACAACACCACAAGGCTCAGTCCATCTACAGAAAGATTGGTGTGGTAGTGTTTTCATCTCAAACACAATAAAAATATCCCTACGTTGAAGTACACAAAACAAGTGAGGTCACCACATCCTCTTCATGAGATATCAAGAGACTGGGTTTTTTCCCTTTGTTTTTTCTTTGTTTTGGTTTGGTTTTTAATTATTTCTTTTTCAATACTGCTCATCATGGCAATTTTTTAAAATTACTTGTTCTAAAGGTGGAACATCAGAATTAACTTCTGCTGGAAGCATGGACACCTGAAGAAAACGGGAATGAACCTCTGCCTGTTGACAGTCTGTGAAGAGACTATTACATAAATTCACAACAGTGGAGAGCCACTTAAAAAAAAAAAGGTAGAAAGTAAAGAAAGAAAAAAAGAAGAAGATAAAATATGGGTCCAGCCACATCTGTGTTCCAATAGTAAGATACAGATAAATAATGTGGACGATCAGAAAAATTACTTTGTATAAGCCAGCCATATGTACAAGAAAGCATATTCCATATTTTAAAATTCCTTACTCCAGATTCTATTCCGGCATACTTTTACTTCAGCTAAGTGTTCTCAAAAATCTGCCTTTATGGAAAGAGACAAACCATTCTTCATTCTGCTCTGAATCTGACTGCCATTCTAAACTGGAATTTTCTATTTTTAAAAATTATACAGCCAGCAAGAAGGAAGAATTTGGTTCAATATGCAAAAGCTAAAACATCTTTCAAAGCCTGACGGCCATTAATTACTCCATTTGCTCAAGCTTAAGCACAGAGAATATTCATATGGGTATATAATTTTAACAAATATTGACAATATAGTTTATTTCTTTGACTTTGGTGAGAACTTACTAGAAGATAATTAAAATATTTTAACTATTTCCATCTGGAAAACATAGCACCTGAGAACAGCAAGTACTTAAGAGTCACTTTCAGCACCTGTAGAGTACCTTTTAGCTTATCTTCTGCTTTTTAGAAATCTTTTGTTACCTCTATTCCCAACAGTCTAAACAAGGCTGATAGCCTGCATTAAATTAAAAAAAAAAAAAGTATTTAAAAAAAGAGCAAAACATGCTTTTGTGAAACCATGATTAAAAAAAAAAAGGTTAAAAAATTCAACCATATGCACACATACAAAACTATAAAGTCAAGTAAATACAATGTAAAAGCAGGGCTGCAAAAAGCACTCGTAAGTTATAATTTTCAAGGTCCAAAGGAAGTAAAGCCATGAAAGCTACCTGACTTATTTGCAGTTGCATTATATTTTGATGTTTCTCAATTTAGAATCAGGATAAAATAGCGCTAAATAGTTTTGACTCTGCAACAATCAAAACAACCTGACATCAGAACAATTTCCATGAATTTGTGAAGGCATTAATAATCTAGCCTAGATAAAAATAGCTCTGCACAACTATTCTAGAAAGTCTGACTGAATTTGTTTTTAAACTACTACAAGAGAAAACTATTCCAGTATAGAATATGGAGGAAGGAAGAACCACTAAGGAAAGTTAAATCAATTTAATGACTTGGATAGCTATGCCAAGTATTTTTACTCTTAGCAACCAAAAAAACCCCACCCCATACAACCAAAAATATTGTTGTCACTAGCATATTAATGTTTTCATTTTGGCTGGACCCTGCAAAATGCCCTTTTTCCAGAATCAAGTAGAAGTATTCCCCTTTCTGACTTCATCCCGCACAAGTTAAATATTTAATTTTATATTACAGAAAAATACAAATTTAAAATCAAAATTATTTACAATGATTCAGAATCAGCATTTGCTATCAGCTCTGCATGAAGCCTGACACAAATGATCACTCTGATACCAGTAAGCTACTTAATGCTTATATATGCACCAGTTAAGACTTTTAATTGGCTGTCTCACCCAGCTTTGAAAGCAACATTCTCCTGCCTTCCTGACTTTTCAGTGATGTGTTGAAAGCACAACAGTATTTTAATGCTTCTTCCATGCTACATTAAGTAATATGCCAAATCTTAAGACTGCAATGTAGATCTTAGGAGTGATTTCAGAGTAATTGTTCTGAAGAAACATTTCTCTTAACTGATGTCCCAGTTCCTCCAAAAAGGTGTATTAGTTTTCCATCCTTTGTACCAACTCCTAAATAACCTGTACAAATACAATTTCAGGGAGCCTTTTCACATAAGAAAATTATCAGATAGATAATCAGGAGGAACAGTATGCACCTCAATTTGGAGGAAAGTGATGCAGTTTAAAACAAGTTAGCTACTGGACTGACATAAGAAGATTCTTGTGTCTCTGATGGACTACAAGAGACACCTAAATAAATAAATCTGTATAAAAGAGGACAGGTTAAAAAATAACCAAGTTGGCAGAGAAAATACATCTTGCAAGTCAAGAGAAGCCCAGCCAATAGCTTACAAAAAGCAGAAAAAAAAAAATATTCCATATGCCTTAATTTAAAAAATAATTAATAATGCATCTCACCCCTATTTAAGACTATAACCTGAATATCAAATTTAGGAGTCCAGACTAATCACAATTAATGTGGCTCTCCACTGCACCAAACATACATTAGCAAAACAATTAAAAACTTTCACATTCTTAAATCTAAATTAATAACCTCCACAAAAAAGTCTTCCAAATAAATAGGTTTTTTAAAATGAACTTAAAAGTTGTCAAAATCTATCAGAAATAAATTATTGATAAACCACCTTCATCATCTTCCCCTCGTTAATTAGGTCAGAAACTACCAGCAACAATTGATATTCAAGCCCTGATGAGAGACTATTTCTCACAGTCCATGTCTCTCTGAAGATTTCCCCGTTCCCATATGGTTATTGCTGAGCAGGTGTGGCACAGTGAAAATGCAGCATTGGGTTGATAATTTTTTTTGTTGGTTTTTTTTTTTCTTTCTTTCTTTTCTTGTTTTTGTTCATCAGGCAGTGTTTTACATGGTACATGCAAGACTGCTTCAAGCAGAGGAATAACAGCAGCTCCAGGCTCTGTTGACCTCAATACTGGTCTGTGTGGGAAAGAGAGCAGTAGTAGAAGTAGCAGCTACATTAAACAAAGAAGCGTGCATGGCCGTTCCGGTTCAGCTTCAAGATCTTCCCAAGGCGCTGTTTAGCAGTTGCCATTCCTTTCTTTGGACGTTTGCCTGAAAAATGAGATCAAGTACTTCAATCAGGAACTTCAAAACAAATCTTTCTTATCACAGAACAAAGATGAAATCCAGCTTACAAACTGAAGCAGGCAAAATTTTTAGCAGATTGAGGTTTTTTTCTTTAAAACTTTGAATTTCTGTTTGGGAATAAATGAATAGGAAATTAGAATTGGAAAACCAGACGATGTTTTCCCTAAACTCTGGTTAACACTGTCATAAAGAAAATGATTACGTTATTTACAAATGTCTCCAGTCTAGAGAAGGGCAGTGAATTTTGCTTCCTAAATTTTGCTAAGTTATTCACTTAAGTAAATTATATAAAATAAACTAGAAACTAAAACCTAAATACTATGATAAACAGACTATTTTTAGAAGCGTCACAGCTTTTAAACCTTCACTTCAATAAAGAAATCTTGTTCAGGCCAGTGTTTCAGAGTATAGCTGTTGTTCTGTTCCCTGTAATAAATGCACAACAGATGCACCTGCACCTGTAGTTTTATCTGGCCTTGCACTCAAGACAGATCTCTCTTATTTTCATCTCCACATATTCTGTGCCGAAATCTCAAAGTCCACAGGATGTACATTCTCTATCTTTCCTCAAGGTCTCAGCCTGTCTTTTTTTTCAGTTGCTTCATCTAACAGCTTTTTTTAACAAGTTCCTTTTCCTCGTCTTTTTCTCTGGCAAGAGGACAAAGATAAACATTACCTTTTGTCGCCTGGTTGCTGATAGGGGGTGGGTTTGATGCTGGCCTCTTTGTTGGATGAAGTGGCACAGACAGGGATGTTTCACCATAGGGCCTGTCAGGGCTAAGGCTGCCATCACTCAGTCGACATTCTCCTTGAATTAGATTGGACTCTCGTGTACACTTGCCATGCTGGAAACTCAAGCTGTTGTTGTGAATTATACTTCTGCTTTCCTGAACCCTATGATTGGCTTCTGATGCACTCTCTCTCTTGATACATTTTTGAGTTTTACTTATATCCTAATATGGAAATGAAGAGAAGAAAAAAAGGGAAGTTGATACCTTCTGACTACAAGTTCACTCAAGTTTTTCTAATTGTACTACTGTACTTTGAAAAAGCTCTTTCAGTTCCACTGGTGACTGACCACTGTAGGACTTCATAATTTTAGTAAAGATGCCTCTTAAAAATAATATACAATATTAGTAGTGTAACAGTGAAAGCTTTTCCATATGCATCTAAGGGAAATGCTGTAGATTAATTATACATACCAGTGTACTCAGTTTCACTATTTTTTTGTTTTAGTTTGCAGCGATCAAGACAGATGCTATTGGCTTTTATTGAACTGGCCACTATAGCAAGCTATACCATAACTGTTGACTATTTAAGCAGGCAACTTGCTTTCAATCTTCAGCTGATGAAAGAACAAATGCTAAATTGGGAATTACAAACTGTAATTAAGGGGTATCATGTACTCAGACAACTGCATGCTTCATAGGCTTTTTGGTACGATTATCTGAGTACATGATAATGCAATTTAATTGTAATTAATTTCAGAGTGTAAGACACACAACCTCTCATTTATATATTTCTTACTGGATTCCACCTGCATGTCAGAAAGCAAACATATTCCTACCTGCTGGCTGTTGAAAGGTTGTACCAGTTTGGAAGCACCAATCTCCTAAGCAAGTACCTTTACTATAAATACTATCAACAGGTTCCACTTGTTCTGATACTCTGGTTAGGAATAACAACAAATAAACAATACAGTGCTCCCCAAGTTACACTGAATGTAAATTCATGGGGTTTTTATGAAGTATTTATTATTTTTCAATACATTGCCCTGAGCACCTTAACACTAGCCACGGTGTCAGAAGACAGTTTGAAAAGAAAAACAAACACAAAAGAACAATGAAAGAAAAGCATGACAAAAATACCATACTTCATTATCAGAACCAGAAGTATCTATTATCAGATCAGTAGTGTGGGCAGACCTGTCCAGCATGCTTCTGTACTGACAAATTCATGATCTTTTTTTCCTATAAAAATCTGTTCAAAATGTTAAAAGTATTGCCTTACCGGAGGGGAAATCCTTGAAGCTTCATTCAGGTGTCTAGCCCATGCTGAAGTCCCCACATCTCCTTCCTCTTCCTTCACAGACCTACCTAAAGAGAAATATAGCAAGCTTGAATTTTAAAATCAACAACTAGGAATACAAAGTTATTTATACATTTGAATTACTATAAAATTAAAAAAGAAAGAAAAAGAACTACAATGGAAAATATTTCCTAGCTACAAAATAAATGTTGTCAGACTTGCTTGGTCCTACACACTAAACTGGGAAAAAAAAATCTCACAGTATATATACCAATAATTAAAGATCCATATAGCACAGTAAGGAGGTCAGGGAAATACAATTGCTCAAATTTGAGAGTATGGATGTTGAACACAGCTTATTTGCCTTGTTATGCTACTGCTTTCAATCACGGTTTTGTACCATGTGGAGTTCATACAAAGACGGACAATTAATTTTCAGGTATTATTGATTGTATTGTTTCTAAGCACTGATTTGCTATGCAGGTATAACAAATGGAAGATCTACGCTCATAGGCCTATAGAAGATGTGTCCACACTGAGAACAAATTTACAATACAGTTAACTTGTAATATGAAGTGTATGCCAAGACACCAACTCAATTTGATTTTGAAGGGACTGAAAGGTTTTGCAAAACCTGCTAGCTAAGAAGTGCAGTCTCACCTTCTTCACCCGTGAAGTCTGACACATGTATTGAGTCTGACCAAAACAGCATTTTTTCCTAAGTGTATGTATGGTGCTGTCTTTTAGATTTGTGGCTAAAACATTGTTGATAAAACACCAAAGTTTTGGCTGTTGCTGAACAGTGCTTGTACAGTGTCACAGCTTTCTCTTTTCCCACTCTGCCCCCTGCAGTACGTAGATTACGGGTCAGCAAGAGATTGGGAAGCAACACAGCCAGAACAGTTGACCTGAATTAGCCAAAAGGATATTCCCTACCATACAGCATCATGCCTGGCAACACTGGGGTAGAGGAAGAGGCTGGGGGGGAAAGACAGTCTTTAAAAGACCCAGAGACTGCCTGGGCATCAGTCTGCTTGCAGAAAGCAGTGAGTGATTGCCTTTACACCACTTGTTTCTCTTCCTCTTTCCTTCACTTAGTAAACTCTTAATGGCAGCCCATGAATCTTCTCACTTTGCTCTTTCTATTCTCTCCCCCCATCCCACAGGGTGGAAGGAAAGAACAAGTGGCTGTGTGGATGCTCAGCTGCTGGCATGAGTCAACCCATCACAATTTAGAAACTTGGATACTGTTTTTCATGAAGTTACAAACACTTAAAGGCACTGCATGAGTCTCTGTGGTTTGCTGGTTAGGGATTTTTGTTGCTGGCTTTATCTACCTACCTACCTATCTATTTGGTGGGGTTTCTATTTGTTTCACATCAGCAAAACTATAATCCTCTTCCATTTCCTTCTCAAGCAAAGAATTTTCAAACATTGTGACTCTCTCTCTGTTCCAAGACATGATTTTGATTCTTTTGAGGGGATTAGTGTTAATATTTCTGCTGTCATTCCCAAAACACATGTAACAGATGTCTGTTTTCCACAGACATCAAAACGCCACTGACAAAAAAAATACCTCAGAATTCTTCTCTTCAAGATTAGAAACTCCTTTAATACACTGCATTAGTAGCAGAATTTAAGGAGTAAAGCCAAATCTGTCTTCCAAAGAAAAATGAAAAATCACCAAGTAGATTCCTATGCATAAGTAACACACATGCCATGAAAACTGCAACCATGAAGGTTCTGTCAATCTGCTCTGAAGGAGATTACACTTTTGATAATGAGACTACACTTTAAATTCAGCCACAACTTTGCTGCTTGTGTAAGGATGCCACAAAACGTTTAGATGGCAGTATTTAGAAGAGGTACTCAACATCTTAAACTAAATTTGTCCCAGTTTTCAGAAGGAACCTTTTTTTTAATAGGGGGGGAAAAAAAAAACACAAAAAAAACCAAAATCAAAGAACATGCCTTTTTAAATCTTGGTCTGATTTACTTACAAACTTGACTACAAACCTGAAAATGTAACTTCAAGTGTTTATTATGAGCAGTTTATCCAGGAGCAGAGAGCAGCAGTGTCATTAGTTCAGATACCTACCACATTCTATTATTTTGTGGCTCTGAGATGGCTGTCTGTCTTTATGTCGACTCCTGGGGTAGCTTCTGTGTTCCTGAAGAGAGGTTCTTTTATCTGTGCAGTCTGTGCTTTGAGTATGACCTGGTAAACATGTAGTATAGTGCAATCCTGCCATAGAAAGCATGCCCTGAATAGCTTCTTCTTCTGTACTTGTCGAGGTAGGACATTCCCTAGAAAAATAAAGGAGTATTAAGCAGTTCAAAACAGAACACTCCATTTCTCTGAAGGAATTATTTTCACATTGGTATAAAGCAGCACCATAAATGTATGTGAAAAGATTTAACTGTTTATAAACAAATGCCCACAATGAGCTTACTTTTTACTGGGAGTTTCATTTCTGGATGGCTTCTGAGTTTTTTGACAGTGGTCTCTCGTGACCTTAGATTCCTCTTTGAAATTTGATGTTACTTCCTGTCTCTCTTCATCACCTGAGCTTTCTGACTCCTCCGAGGAGGAATCCTTCTGCTGAAACAAGAGGAAATAGTAGGCATAAAGGTCACCATGCCTTCTAAATAGAGACGCTACCTTAATTGATGCTAAGTAAAAAATTCACAAGCTTCCAGGTCCAACTTTTTTATATATATAGTATTCAGAATGCAGTTCATTTGAATATAGCAACTGAAATGCTATACATCCAAATTTTGTAACACTGATGAGAACATGCTCCAGCAATAGAGAAAGCATCTCTAAGACCCATTTTCTTACAGAAAACATTACACACATTAAACCATGTCCAAAACACTGTGTTCTATTTGAAGCATTGATTATTCTTATATTCTTATATTATATTTGACATTCAAAGTAGAGGAAAAAATATGGAAGTATGGTTCCATGCAGCAGTCAGAATTGATGCCTATTACAAGTAATGCAACACATCCTGCCCCAAGTAGCTGTTTCTGGTTGCTGCTCTCATGAAAGAAAACTTGCAGCAGCAGCATCTCTCTGGTGAGTGACAGAAGCTCTCAGGTAAATCCAGAACACAGCAGGAATAGAGACATAACAGCTGTTGCCTGCCTGGCATAGACTCATTTAATGAATAAATGGTCTTTACAGCTCCAGCTGAGATTACAGATTGTACGGCCAGGAGCTTCTCAAAGGTGGAGCAACCATATGTGATTCATTAAGTCTTTACATGAAGCAAGGTACAACAGAGATGTTTCATTTCTGTAACTCAGACTAACCTACTTTTAACAAGAACAGGGAATGTCACAATTTTTTTTCAAACCAAGGAATTTACATGACGTTTAATAAAAGTGTTGAAAGTGAAAGTTCAGCACATGGAGGAATCATAATCCTTCAAGACTGACACCACTATCCCTATCATAAAAAACAGAACTGGAGTGAACTAAGTGCATCATGTCACCAAGGGATGTTTTTAAACAATAGCTTCATCCACAAGAGCAGCTTGTTAATCTTTTGACACTTGGAAAGTGATACAAATGGACAATTAAATTATAAATACAGCTCAATGTTAGTAATAAAGCTGTTCTCTTGTTAAGATCTTCAGTGTAATAAAAACATAAAAAGTATTTACAGGAGCTACTGAGACACTTTGTTTTGGATATATCATTACAAAGACAAACTAAACATACAGAAAAATTATTCCATTAGATCCTATTAGAAGTTAAGAAGCAGAAGAACATAGAAGGGAGTAAATGGCATAAATATAAAACACTACACTCAATGACTAAATAATCTAAAACTGGCTACATCTCCCATGAAGAAATATACCACTTCTGAAGAGGGAAAACATAAGAAGCCATATCATTCTGGTTCCTATCATTTACTCCAACATCTAATTAAGGTAATGATGGAAGACATTTCATTTAGTTGTAAAGAAATCACTGCAATCAAGACCCTCAAATGGAGGATTCCCTTTTTTTTTTTCAAATAATTTAAAACACCTCAATCAGATTTAGTCATTTCAGCTTATTTTTAAAAAACTAAGGTCTGTAAGATTTTTTCCATTTACCCATGCTCTAAAATGAAACTGTGGTAGATACTCATAGTTCTATTGATGAAATTTAGACTTGTCATGGAAGAAATGAAGAAAGCAACTAGGATCTAACTTCTCTCAGACTTGGTATGTTCCAGAGAAGTACTCATCCTCTGCCAGCCCCACTTCAATGAAAAAGAAGATAATAAAAATTTGGCTGAAGATAGTGTATCTTGTCATTTTTCTCAAGACCAGAATAAAGAACGAGGCAGAACTGTAAATCTGATGTATTAACTTGAACGACAATTAAATACTGTTACTGGTCTTTTAACAAAAACTTAAATGAAATAAATTTTGAGTGACCAAAATTACATTTATTTGCTTTGTTATCTTTTGTGACCTTTTGTAGCTGTACCTGTGTAGTGCAATCAGGCTCAGATTCTTCTGTATCAGAAATATCAGAGTACTCTGAGGATCCATTCCTGAGTTCTGATTTCACACTTTCAAAGAACACTGCAGAAAGAAAATAAGTGAAATGTAAGACTCAGCATCTACTACATGTAATATTTAACAATTATTTTGGAAGAACAAGAAACATGTATTTAGTTTTTAAGAGTCTGTAAACAAAAGGACACCTACACACTGATCTGGTTCACAAGTCAAGTTTGCTTAAAAACAATTGAGTTGCCTACTGTTTACCAGACTCCTCAAGTGACTGACTGGATGAAGACAGAGGAAGAGAAATCAGGTACAGCTAGAGCATTTACTTTCTCTCCCACAGAGCACACACCCCACACATGGCATCTTGGGTGATTTCTGTTTTTGTATATAGGTTGGACTTCAAAAAGTGGCATTCAAAAAAAATTAATTAGAAGTAATCTTCAATACTACTTTGCATTTGACTCTTTGAACCTGGAATTTCCTTGTTTAAAAGCAGTTATATAGAAACAGAAAGCATGTAAGTTAGAGGATATTAAATGATTTAAAGATAAAGAATTCGCTGCATTACTTGCATTTTTATTTTAAATCAGAATTTACTGGCATATTCTGCCTGTTTTGTGCTAATAAAGAGCTGCTAATCAGGGTTAAAATGCAGACCTGTTAAAGAAGATTAAAATATTACTCTGATGAGACACACTATACTTGCATTGGTTTTCATCATGTAAAGACCTGAAAAGAAAGAGGAGAGGAAATACCAACCCTAGACATACTTTTTGCTAGTAGTAAGATGAAGTACTAATCAGAGAACGAGGTGTCAAAATCAGACATTAGAAAACACTGGTGTATGATAAGTAATCAACCAAATCAGCCACCTAGTCCATATGGTTTACTTTTTTAAGTGCTGAAAGAACTCAAAGTTGCTGAGCAGATCTTAGAAGCATGTAATCTTAAAAGACAGCATAAGTCACAAACAACCATGAGCAGGAAACACATTTGTAAGTGCTTAGAATCCAAGGCTCAAGGTCAGTGGGTTGTATGTGTGCGTGTCAGAGCTGCTGGCAGAAATCTTGATTAAGTACAAATTTGTGAAAGACTACAATACACAGTTTAACTAGCAAAATGTTTCTGGAACAAAGCCAAATGGAATAAAAATGTTATGAATGTGTGTCAAGAAGGTAGTGGGTAGAGAAAGCAACGTAACTTTTCCAAGTTTTCAATTACTTATAGCTTCATATGTAACTATGCTGAAAGAAAAACAACTCCGATCAGAAATTAGCTTTGGAATGAACACAAGTAAAGTGAAAATGTTGGTTTGCTTTCAGCATAGTTTTATATGAAACTACATAAACAAGATGCCATGCTTCATAACAAATATGTACCTGCAACCTTACATATACTTCAATGCTAGTGGAATTTTGTTCCTATTGTAGACAGTGGCAAAACTTACAAATAGGTATCAAATACAGGTATCAAGTGATATGATTAATTTCTAAACACTGGGTAAGCTGAAATACTTTTTGGAAGTCCAAAGAAAGCTAAGAATGAGACAGGTTATCAAAAAGTGAATAAAATGAAAGATAGGAACAAAACCTAGAGAAGATTTATTAAAGATAGTATTAGAAAGAATAAAGAAGAATATCCAAACACAATAAAAGAGCAACAACACTGTATATGAAGTTAAGCTTAATACAGTAGTGCTCAACATATGACAAAAACCCAAATATTCTAAATTACTGTAGCTCAAAATACTCGAGGGATTCTGATGGTAACTCAAGCCTTCAGCTCATTTCAAAAAGGTTCTAGGATAAGCAACAGCATGCACGATACAAAAAATCATACTGTTACATAGGTCAAATGAATTTTCCTTTAGCCTACTTCCTTTCTCAAAGAAAAAAAAATGCTCTGCACTTAAGAGACAATTTAAAGGAAGGGGTAAGAACAATTGAGGGTATCTAAATATGCTCACATGCAGAGCTCCAGATCTGAGGCAAAAATTCATGTGTAAACAATGAACCACAATTAAAAAAAATTTAAAACAAACTTCACAAAGACTCCTCAAGAATTTTACTTCTTTCTGTCTTAAGGAAGTGGAAAATCCTTATTATTAAAGCTATTAATGAGAGTGAGTCTTCATATACATAATGAGCTATATACAGATACTATGATTTATAAAAGCAATGCTAAATACAGAGTCTCATATTCAGAAGCCTTCTTGCCTTCTCACAGAGATTAACGGATGAAATCCTACTAAGAGAGACAAATTATTGGTTATCTGCCTACTGTCTGGTAATATGAACTAGACTAAATGGCTAAAGCCACCTGACATCGAGACATTCCTTGTTTGTCTGGGGCTGCATACTAGCTTAAGACACTATATGAGCCTCAGTTCTGATCCAGTTTGGCTATACCAACATTCCTATATGCAGAAAAATCATTGTCCATTTTCACCACTTCTTTATTTTGCAAGCTTTGTGCAAAGCAGTCAGAGAGTATCTCCCCAGTTTTCATTCTGCCTTACATTGAATGAAAAGCCAGGGAAGCTGCATTCCTTTATACTGCCCTAAAAAAATAAATAAAATAACCCACAAGAACCCCTAACAACTGCTTTCCCCCAGGTCCCTGCTTTCTACATTCCCCTGCAAAAGTTCTCTCACACTTCTCTTTCACATACAGGTCTCAGATACATTTATTGATCTTCACAGTAACACATCATGTATTATTGGGATCACTCATCTCATCATCCATGAACATAATTTGTAACTGAGGTTTCAAAAATTCAGTCTAAACATACAAGTTGGGTTTTGCTTTGTGTGTGTGAATTACCTTGGTAATTATTATTGTTACTTACAAATTAACTGGTCTAACCTCACATAAAGTTATGGCTCTGCATGCTTCCAGAGACTGGGAAGAATACTCCAGAAATCAAGTTAATTAAAGCAGATGTTATCTTTAAGATCAGGCCAAGCTAACGTGAATTTAAAATAATATCTTAAATCACCTCCCCTCTTCCACACAAAGTATCTTGCTCTGCTAAGTACAACACTTGATCTTTGTCTCTCTGATAATACTGGATAACCACTTAGTACCAGGATCTTGGCATGACATGCAAAGCTATACAGAGCTTGATCTGTTTAAAGGTATCTCTCTGTAGACATTGACTCTTGGCCTCAATCCCAGCAAGAACAATGGAAGGTGGCAGCTGTTATAGAAACAGATAGTTCCGTTTATGGAATTCTCTGCAGGGAAGTATCTTCTCTCTCTCTCTCTGTAGACCTTCAGTTAAGGCAAAATCATGAAATGTAGGTAATCTTTAATAGGGAAGTTTGAAGACTCTCACTATTCAACTGAAAATATTAGCAATAGTCTTGAGTACTCAATTTCTGGAAAAACAATCTAAACACTCTCTTCAAGTTCTAGGTACACTACTTATGTGTAGATACATACTGTCATATCCCTTCCGTATCAAGTAAGTGCAACAATTTTTAAGAAAACCTACCATTTCTCTGTATGATTTAATATTTGATTCAAGTGTAAAACTTAGTCTAATTCACTTAGTTTTATTTTGAAAGTGGAAAAACACCACATATGCCTAAGCCCTCACTCAACTAACCATTTCCGTTGTTGGTTTACGAGTACCCAAGGACCTGTTTCCTGGGCAGATTTTTTAACACTATCCTCTGTGTCCTCTGGAAACACAGTCAACAGGGATTACTAATTGCCATGTTAATGAAAGTAATTACATATTTTATCCAGGCTGACAATCAACTTAAATGTTCTTACATACTGTTTTGCAGGAGACCAAAGTAACTGTAAGTCTCTAGAGGAGTCTTCTTATCTTTAAGTGTTGACCTCAGTTTCCTAATACATACACTCTGAGCCCTTGTGAGCTCCACTGTGTAAGGATGTGACTTTTCTAAATAAACAGAGAGCTGAACAGTTATGTCAAGGACCTATGTGTCATTGCAGACAGATAATGCTATTAAAAATAGGCACCGAAAACAGACTTTCGTTATTGGTACCTTACCAATACCCTGTGCATTGTGCACATGGCAGGAAGATTTGAGGCTACAAAAAGACCAAAAAAGAGTAACTCCTAGAAAAGGATTGTTTAAAGTACTGGTGAGTGAGGTTGAAGTGTTTTAAAAGATAACCTAAATTCTTACCCAGCCTTGCAGATCACTGCAAAGGTTGAAAGTGTAAGATTTTATTACTATTATGTTTGATCCTTTCTATGGAATAAATCTACTCATTAGCAGAACATACAGAATTGTATGATCAAGTATATAGTCACCAAACGGAGCAGAAAACTGAACAATAACATAGATTTAAAATAACCTGTATGTTATGATCTTTTGTTCTCTGTAGTAACTGATGTGATGAACTTTTCACACTGAAGTATTTTTTGATCAAGAAAAAAAAATCAGCATTCTTACATTAAGAAACAGACCAAAAGGAACAAATGCCCATCTAGAACATCAATTAAACCTCCAGTCTGAAAAACACTGTACACAGTATTCAAGATGGCACTAACATAAAAAGGTGAGTTTTACTTTTCAGCTCTGTCTTGTTAGTTTCTTCACTGGACAGATAATATTTGACAAATGTTTTGTTCTAACTTCTAATATTACTTCTCTGAGGTAGTAAGTTTATTCTTTCTATACTTTGGTAAAATTTCAGTCAGACTTCACAACAGTTAGACCCTCTTCAAGATAGACCAAAATGTTCAACTAACCGGACTTAGAGACAAGCTTACTGTTCAGTGGCTTCTGGGCATCTGCATTGCCTTCTCCTCCAAATCCTGAGGGCTGATCTTCTACCTTAACAGCTGTCTTTTTTGACCTTGTCCTGTCATCTTCATCTTCACTATCTGCTGTGTAAAGACTTCTATCTGTAAACGGGCGTCTCTCATCTCTGTCTCACAAGAAAAAAAAATAAAATCATTTTACTCTTACAAAAATGAAGCAATTGTTTTCCTTTCATTACTTAGAACACACTCTCAAGATAAAATACTACCATTTTCTTAAGCTCATCTCTTCACTCTGAATTGCACATACTCCCATTTTACACCCAAGTATTTTTAATGAAGATCACTCTAATAGATGGATACAAAACAACCGTTTCTGCTTTGAAGCATTTCCTTCAGTACAACCCAAGTAAGCAACTGAATGAAATGCCGTAGCAAAGGAACACGCAAAGCATCTTCTCTTCACTCCAAAACGGTGGCTCCACTAGGGGACAGCAGACAACAGACAACGTATTCCTTCTATATTAACATTAATCTTACAGGTAAAAGGGAATTTAAGAGATTCACACACAGAAAAGGAATACTATTAGTATGCTCCAGACCATAATGACTAGGAAGAAGTGATTCACAATCAATCCTTTTTACCTAATTATTCTTCCATTTGACAGCAGAAGGCGAAGATCATTGTCTTTTGTTCGCCACTCAGGTACTGTAGAAGATGGCTGAAAGGGCTTGTTAAATCTCCCATTCAGTTTCGAGCTTGCAGTATCCTGAAGAAGCAAAACCAATGTTGTTTATTATTTATTTTTATAGATTCTATTGGTTTTTTTCTGCCCTCCACAAAAGCCTAAACTCAGAACCAGGTGGCTACTTTCCTGATAACCAAGAAAGCTCAAGCAGAGCATGTTTGGATGTGGGAAAAAAAACCAAACATACTGCATTTCCTCCTTCCTTGAATCACCCATGCTCTCCTGAAGCACCTGAAACCCTACGACTTTGCTATAATAGTCCATCTATGTTTCCTTTGGAGAATTATCACCATTCAAAATGCAGAAATAACAACAGAGACAGACAAGCCAAAAGCTGGGCTTGGAACTGCTAAGGTAACGCTTGGATTAGGTATCTAGCCCTCGGAATTAGTATCCCAGAACTGCGTTATAGGACTTAAAACATCAATAACAGGAAGTAATCTTCTGTAAAGCAGATCTTTCTTACATCAAAGTAATTTACATTTGACATGTACTACGAAGCTATAGGTGATGCATTTAGGTGTCAAACCAGGAACAGGTGAAAGAGTTGTTTTTTACAAGCTGATATGGATAGTGAACAGTGTATTTCAACATAAATTACAATGACAAATAGACCTGAGCTTTTTATTTTAAAAACTGTTTGTAGCAATGTACTGCACAGGTTAACTATTTGAGATAAATTTTAAGTTCAAGCTTCTTGCCTTTGAGGGCTAAATGAATGTCTCCTGTTCATGTCCTACCTCAACATAAGGACCCAAATCACTATTTCTCCACTATAACAGTCCATTCTATCCCAACTAAATTTGTCAACATTTCTTATTCTCAGAAAGCTACTTATTTCCTTTCATAAATCTACTCATTTCCATTCCCTCACTCTCCCATTTCTGTTGCTGTTTTTTGAAATAAGGCCAAACTTGAAAAAAAGAATTTTTCAAGAGACTGCATTTCACTCCTTCACTTCTTGATACCTTTGTAATACAACTGCAGAGTCCACAGCCCCACAAGAGAGACCAAAGGCAGCATTAGGTTTACTGGAAGAGAGGCACAGTCATAAAGGAAATAGGAACATGACTAGAAAACAAGGCTAATCAAACTGAACTATAAGAACAGCTATCTAAAAACATGTTGAGAAGCAATCTAGCTCAAAGCCTCACAAAATCATACCTTTGCAAGCTTCCTTTTGTTTACAGAAATTATTTAAAGCAGCACTTGATAGCTACAGCAATCCTAATTCAAAAGCTATACTTGAAGAAAGTAGTAGATTCAGAGCACGTTCTGAACTCAAAGGCTGAAGGAATCTCCACCAAAAAAAATTATCAAGGAAAACAGAAATTCCTATCAGGAAAACTCAAAAGAAAGAAACTGAAAATAAATCCATTGACGTCTCTCTCATACAACAAAGAGCAGTAGCCTGTATTCTTAAGCATGTTAAAGGCTTTTCCCATTCAACAGAGATAAGAAAACTACTCTGTTGGGTTTTTTTCTTGCACATAACTTAATACTTGCCTCCTCCCACGGTGACATCTCCAGCCTTTTCAGTACCTCCCTGGTGTGGAGTTCCAGGATGTCCAGATTAGAAGGAGTTTTGGTAGCATGGTCTCGCAGTTTCCTCACCCTTCGTCTGGAGTGGTATGGGGAAGTTGTTTCATGCAAAGATCGTGAAGTTGGACACACACCAAGAATTCCCTGAGTTTTAACTAGTTTGCTGTTTTCCTCCTTTAATTAAAAACACACATTTCAGAATAGTCTCAGATGAAGAAATTCACATATTTAGGTGCTGCTTCTTAATAGTCTAATTAAACGTAAATTATAGAAATAAAATTGTTAGGACCTTTTAGAGAAATACTATGTATTTCCTATGGATTTCATGTACAAAGCTTAGCACTACTGCACCTCTTTCCCATTTGGCATTTTACACTCTCCCTTAATAGTAACACAAAAAGTTACCACCAAAACATAAGGTTTTATTCATGAAGGCAGCATAGGGTAGACATTTACTGTACCCCACAGATCATATTTCTCTTCAGTTCTCAGAACTGTTCTCTCCACATGCAAATATGAGAATTTTTCAAGAATCAAAATCCATTATGGAACAAAACAGGAAACAACATTAGCATATGAGGAAGAAAAAAAAGAAAGAAAAAACCCACTTGTGTAACAAATTGCAATAAAACATAAGGAAAAAAAGATAAGACAACTGGACCAGAACTAACAAATAAGAGGGTAGGAGAAAGTAATATACACGAAATTTCTAATTAAACTCTTTAACAACTTATTCACAGTAACTGTAAGTAGCTACAAGTGAGAACATCTTAGAAATACTAACGTACATACAAATTTAGCACTAAAAATTTTGTTTTTTAAAAAAATATATTAGCACTTGCTATAGATTTTCTTTATCTGAAATAGATACAGCTTAGTATTCCAAACAGTTTTTCTCTTGTACTTCTCTTATTAAATAAATGTTAAATAAAAGGAAAATATGGTCAATCATAAGAATAACTACTATGGAATTCCCCGATTTGAAGATTTTTTTCCTGCAGGCTTATGTAGGGTTGCCTCTGTTCTTACCTCTACAGAACGTATCACTTTTGAGAGCTCCTTTATGAGATGCCCAGGCCTAATGTTGTCCGGAATTTCAAAGGCATGTTCTGTTACCAGCTGTATGCAAAGGGAGAGGAAAAGATACATAATTCATTTTTTCAGATGAAAGCAGAAATAATACAAAATAAACAAATCTACAGAGGGAAAAAAGGAAAGTGAAAAAAACAGACTAATTTCTGTAAGAATGACTGCAAACTTCCAGGACAGAGATGCACAGACACACTGAAGCTTCCAGTCTAAGCTTTAGAAGGCAGCAGCTGCCTCTCAAAGTCTCTAAGGATCCAAACAAGGGGTAATACAAAGCCACTCTGACAACTGTTTGGTTTTTCTCCCAACTCAGTACAGTAATCAGCTTCTTTTTTTATCCTTTATCATGGTCAGCATAGAGCCACATTTCAGAAACTCAGTCATGACCTTCAAAAACATCTCAAGACTAAAGGAATTTCACTACGGCAAAAAAATTAATCTAAGGAGCAAATCAATAATAATAATCAGTAATAAAAAAACAACATGCAGATTTTTGGACATCTGCCTCAAATTTCACTTTAAAAAAATTACTTTCTTAGCTTATTTAGAATCTAGCAGGTTGGAAAAAGCCATTATAAAAACCATTCTCTACAAAAAAATTAGGACACCCTAACAGTTTATTGTCTTTAATCCTCTAAAACAGTATGAGAGGTAGATTTCCTATATATATTTATATATATGCACACCAATCTGATTAAGTCCAAACACTCTACATTTAGATCTAGTAAAAAAATAGTATGTACAGTTTAAATATGCCTCAAAATACTTTTAGCTAAAATTAAACAGAAGATACAGCACTCACAAATAGACCACAATGACTGACATGAATTCTGGTATCCCCTTAATTGACTATTTAAATAAACAATATCCCACAAAAAACTGTCTGCTACCCACATTTCAAAATGAGATTCAACAGCAAATCCAGTGCTAGAAGCAATTTGATACTTCATGTGCATTTCACAGAACTTGGCTTCCTCTCAGTCAAAAATGAGTGCTCTCTCCACTCCAAAAAAACCCAACATGCATGTACAACCATGACAAAATCATTCATTTATCTGCCATTAATTCCAAAGGAAAGACTAAGTCCGCTGCTATTATTTACCATTGTTCATTCTTTGAATGAATTACCTCTACACATTCACACTTGGGAACACAGCATCTCTGTCACTAAACTGTGTCATTTTCCCAGCAAGTTACTGGTCATATTAGAAACATTCAGTCCTTTCTACTTAAGAGACTTCACTCTCCCAAGAGCACTCCTGTCCATAAAGACTTTAGGGAGGAAGTGACCACTGCAATCCTACAGAACACTGACTTCAAGGTTTCTCAATTCAAAAACATGGAAACCCCTTTCTAATGCAAACACAGTTTATATCAAAAGCACATTATTTTACCAGTATGATTTATAGTAACTCAGCAAAGAAAGTTCCACTGCCAATCTCACTTCTTTGCCACTATAAATGGTATCTATTTACACCAAAGCTTTCTCAATTAAGCTAGGGCAGAGTCATTAATTTTAAAAACACATTAAAAAATAATATCCATCCAAGTAACTTAAATATGTAAACAAATTCATATATATATATAAAGTAACAGTCTGACAGAAGGAAAGGATGGGAAGGAAATATGAACACCTACAGACACCATGCCTGAAAATTTATTACCATTATTAACTGACTTGGTTTTAAGTCATCTCTTGTATCTCAGAGCACACTCCCTCTTGGAAAAGGAACAAGCAGCCCTTGGAACTCAGGAATTCTCTTGTACTAGGGAGAACAGTAGCAACAAAATGGCCAAGGTATGCCAGATGTAAATTGTAATTTGTAAACCAAATAATGGTAAAAAGCTATGATTCACTCAAGATCTTCAAGAAATGGTTTTATAGATGTTGGAAATACCGAGAGGAAGCAGAAACTTGTCTTAAATTAAGATATACACATAAAAATTAGTCCTGATAGGCAAATGAATCCACCATCTTTGGAAACTAGCATCACAATGAATTATATCAATACTTAAAAACACACACACAATTCAAGATAAAAATAATAAACCTCACATTCCTCCATCCTTACAAAAAACTTATTTTCTCTTTCTTTTACAACAGCTGTTAATATTTTTGAAAAAAAACACAGAAGAGATGCCTAAAATAATCTTACTGGTATACAAATCAAACATCTGAAAAATTGAATCTGAGACCTGGTGCTTATGCAAACTGAAAGGAAGCAAGGGCTAAAATCCAAGAGCTCAGATGACTGGACAGGCCACCACCTTTATTGTGTGTATCAATTGACCTAAAGACTGATGATATGCACCAAAGTGATCAAAGGATACGTATACTGACAAAAGCTCTGCACAAACTGAATTCAAATCAAGATAGGAAAACAAATAATTTTAGTAGCATTCAGTCTCTATTCTGTGAACAGAGCATCTTGTAAGCTTTGGTAGCTTTTAAATATTGCAGAAATGAAGATTCTGTTGACCTGCTGAAGACAAATGTGAAATTTGCCAACAAATAGTATGAAGTAATTCACTAAGACAATTCACATAGGTCTTGAAAAGACATACTCCATGATACAAATCTGAAACCTCTTGAGTAGGCTTCTCATTTGTGGAATATTCATTTGTCATTTCTTTTTCAGAATCTGTCTGAAATCCCCAGCATAAGAAGATGATATAGCAACATGCAAAGCGCCTCCTGTCTTTAGCTGCATACAATTACAATCCTGTCACGCACGTGGCTGAATGCAAAAAAAAGATTGGCTTACTTATAAAACAGTAGCTAGAAAAGATGACCACAAGGTACAAAACATGATAGCTGGATAGATGATATTGTGACTAGATCACTGGTGATTTGCAGTTTCCTCACAATTCAAGTGTCTGTTCAGCCAGCAGTTTGTGAATACTCATGGGTCTCATTAATAAGCATTCAGAATGCACCATGTGTAATTAATTATTTTTCCTCAGAAAAGTAGGGAACATACGACATTCTAGATGAAGTATTAATCAAACTACTTAATGAGCTCCCAGACAGTACACAAATGCTACAATCCTATGTGACAACAATCTAGAAAAGAGGAATTCCAATCCAATTTCAAATTAAAATAAAGGTTTAACACAGGCTATGTTTGACCTCAGTTACCAGTTGCCTGATTACTTGGCTGGCTTATTATCCATGCCATGGATGCAGAGATAGCTTGGATTCTTACATGGTCTAACAGCTTAAGCAAAACATCTTATAAATACTGCTACACTGCTTACTAGCTAGCGTTGATCCTGAATGGCACACACTAAGAGTGACTGGAGAACCAACTCAGAGATGTTACAGAGGGCCACCAAAGGTTCACCTGGAATTGGCAATGCTATACAGACAGGACTCCAGCTGACTACACACAGACTAACCACCTCTGCATTTGCATCTTTAGTTTCACACAGGCTGGATGCAGCCTTGTGCAAATTTCATACCTGTAGCATACTACGTTCTCTTACAAGGAGAACTTGTGAGCAGAAATACCAAACAGATCTCCACAAGTCAGTTCAAGTCAGCTTGGTCACTATCAAACTACAATCAATAAGATCAGCCAGAACCAAACTGCCTGTCAGTGAACGGCACTTCCCAGAAGCACAGGTTCCAAAAAGGCTTATTAGCTCAGGCACACACACAAAAAAAACAAACACAAGGAGTTTGACCAGATCAAATAAGCTTTCTTGGAGAGCACAGCACCAGCAAAGCCAGCATAGACAACACAATTATTTTACAAAAGTCAGCCAATGTTCAG